GGGGGGGGGCACTCCTCAAACTAGTGGAAGAGGCGACTGGAGCAGGCTAAGCAAGCAGCGCGCATCCACTGCGTCTTCGACGGATAAGCGGCGGACTACAAAGAGAACGACGACGTCGTCACCTATCTCAGGACCATTGGCAACAATCTTTTAGGATGCTTCTAAACACTAGCCATATGTACGCCAGACCACGTCTCGCGTAACAGGCTTCGCGATATCTCACGAAACACTGTTACGCTGCGACGCGCCTGGCGCACATTTAGCTAGGCCTGCGGCGCTGACACCCGAGACGAGTTAAGGAGAGGGTATAGCGGAACAGGGCCATCCGGGCCCAAAATTTGACATACTCGAACCATTTGTCGGGGTCTTATTACTCTAAAATTAGGGACATGAAACTTCTGCTGTTCAGTAACGGTTTTCATTATGAGTTCGAATTTTCACAGATTGTTATGTAAAAATCAACGTTTTAGTGATACTAGATAATCTAGGGACCCTTAAGCCCAAAAGAGGATGTGGTTCGACCCGTAATGTGTGGTTTAAGTATCACTCCCTTTCCAATTCTGTGACATGAAGCCTTTTTTACGATTAAAGCGACCATTTTGTCTTCTTCACGCTGTTTTCGCCAAGAAATGCCCCATAACGCCGAAACGGTACAAGATAGAGCAAAACGGAAGAAATTTTCGGCCGTAGGCGTAGGGTTCTACTTTTACGAGTTGCCCCTTAGGAGCCCATAAAAAAATATTTGGAAAAAAGTATTTTGCGACCTATGGTTTTTGATTTTTCAAAAAGTCAATTTTTTAGCCAGAGTGCTCATCTTCGAACTTGATCTGTCTTTTTATGATACAAATCGACCCTGAAATTCCCAGATCGATATCTCAATTCTTTCTCGAGTTATCGTGCGGACAGACGGACAAACAGACAAACAAACAAACAGAATGAAACTTTTCCGGTCAGGGGAGTAATGGGCTTCACTAATCGCTCAGCCAAAAACACTGTAAATCCCATTGAAAAATTCATTTTTAAAAATAAAAAATCTCTTAAACCTTTGTATTTGACAGGTTTGCCCCCTTAACAGCTTACAATTTAGCTAGTGTCTGGCCAGCTAACATTCAGCTCGAGCAGCTTGATACCTTCCTGCGAGAAAGGCTTGGCTGCCGCTACTGAAAACGGCTTAGTCGGTGGCAGGCTGCTAAGAAAGACTCGGTTCCGTTTTGGCCACGAGACGCACGTTCACGTTTGAAGCGTTTTTAAAAATTTGTGGGCTGCGATATACATTTTCTGAGAACGGCAAACGACGCCGAAATGTTCGCCGTTTTCAGATGATTTATATCTTAGATCACCGAGGTGTTGAACGATTAAAAGTACACACCTACCGAGTTGAACACTTGCAAGTATTCAACTTGCATTTGCACACTTGCAAGTATTTAACTTGCAGTTGCACACTTAAAAGTGTTGAGCAGCTAAACACTTGGTTTATCACTGCAGAAGTTATTTAGATAAAACAGTGAATTTTGTCTGAAAAATTGGACACTGACTGTGCGATGTCATGCATACCTTTAAATGAACATAAGTGACGATGAGTAAGATGTTCACTTGTATGGGCTTTTGTGTGATCACAGAGTCAGATATGACCATAACAGAATCACGTCTTAAGTGCAAAGTGCACTAACATTCTAAACACTGTAGATGATTTTCTAAACACCACAGACGTGTTTCATTCACCTAGGCATCATGCTTCATACTCGGGCTCTCATTTCTCCTCATCATAAGTGGCGTAATCCACAAGCCCACGTCTAATGGCATCGACGTGAGCTGCGGCTACTACTCAGACTTTTACGGTCAGGTCTTCCTGATACTGCAGAAAGATCGCATCGCATCATTTCTCACAGATCTGGCCGATGTTGTCCAGGAAATAGAATCTGAATCCAGAACATCTCTTAAGGTCAGTAAAACCCGAGTGGTGCATTATTCGACCAATCAGAATCAGAGTACGGATTTCCAACCACTCACTTGTTCAGTGAGTTCCCAGTCACATACCTAGTTCATAAGGAAATGACTACCGATCAGGAAAAGTATGGCAAAATGTCACGAAATACCCGGACATAAAGCAGGGGTCCGTAACTTGACATAACGAATATGATTGGTTTGTTAAATAATTTCACAAAGTCGCGAATAAAACTTTAAGTTAACACTGGTAAAACAAAGGCGCTAAACAACGCCTTTAAAAGGCGCTATTAAAGTTTACCACCTTAGGAAAAGCACTAAGGTTTAACGCCTCAGGAAAGGCGCTAGATTATTGGGGGTGTTCAGAGGTTAGCGCCTTTGATAATTCTCGCTCTATATAATTTGTTTTAAAAATTTAATCCCTATTTATGTTTATATTGTCAGGATTTGACAATACGACGTCCCAAATCAATGTTAATTACTTGCCAACAATGGTGTTTTGAAAGCCATGATTAATAACTTTCAGTCTAATATCATCACTTCTACATGGAAACCAAAATCAGAACATTTTCCGTCGTAAATTAATAACTCACATATTTTTGAAGATCATGATGGCTGTGGTGCCTGGCAGTCATTGTATAATTACATTTTAGTACCGAAGAGGCATGAAACACTCTAAAGTCCAACAAAAATCTAAGGCAATTTGGAAAAATTGCTAACTTGGGTGCTGGGGTGGAGAATGGACTACTACTGCTGGTCTAAGTCTGTAGGTTAAGTGCCTCAGCTATTTGACAATGAAGTATGAAATCCACGCACTGACACGCTTCGACTTGCACGTTAACTCAGTTCTCTTACATCGCAAGAACAACTTTCGATAGTTAACATATGCTATATATCAGGTGTCGGGTAAGAACATTAACGATTAACAAAACGTTATGAGGTGCTTGTATGTTAAAGTTACGGACCCCTGAGAAATTGTGACAACTGCATAGCAAGTTCGGTTAGCCCATATGCGTTCCAGGGTGATTGTTTTTCTCGCGTCATGTCACTTTCCAAGTCAGCAAATCAGTTTTGACACTAGTCAAGTACACACTGCTCCTGTTACACACTGCCCTACCCGCCCTTACGAGCAGCAGCCCGTGAACTTTAGTCGTTAGTGTTCCAAAAGTATCAGATGTATCGTTTAAAATAACACAGTAATGTACAGGTAGAAGGCCAGAAGATCTGGAGTAAAGAATGTGAGGGTGTGGGTGTCGATTTCTTAGCCCTGTGGGCTAATTTTATTCTCTTTCAGTTAATTTATGGGATATGAATATTACCAGAAGGGAAAAGGTTACTCAATTGCAGCTTTACAAAAATAATGGGGCTGTGTCGAAGCGTCACAGAGTAATCGTACGATGTTGGTAGACCCGTCGATATAACCTTTTGGAAAGGCTGCCGACGGCGTACCTTTAAGATTATGAGCATGAAATTTAGCCTACCCTTGTTAACGTGAACTGAACACGGGACCAAAGTCAGTGCCTTTCAGAATCGCCCCGAGATATTTTAATCGGAAGCTCTTTTTTGTGCAGGTGGCACTTCAACAAGCCGACCGATCTATTCGTCGGAATACAATATACTTCTCAGTGTTTTATGTGCTGCTGCTCTGCTCGATGCTACCGGAGTCAATTATGACCGGAATATCACACGCACCCATGTGGCCACAGCTGCCAGAACCGCTCGGAAACTGGGTATCGGTAGTTTTGTTTTGCGGTTCCATGACCACGGGTGCGGGATTATACTACATGATGTAAGTATTGCTGGGAACGAGCTCAAAAGACCGTTTGATTTAAGGTTGGAAAAGCAAACAAAATATAACGTTTACAGGAATCAGGAAGGGAGAAAATGAGCCAGTATACCACACGCCTAGCCAAGCGGGAGCAGGACGTTTCACCCAATCCATTTCACCCGAAACAATTCCTCCCATGACAAGTTTGCCACCGACATTTCACCCGATGCCAATGCACTTCACCTAATGCCATTTTGACTATAAAGTACGTTCCACCTATGTATTTATACGTCCAAAAATTAAAAGTCTAAATAGTGTCCAATTTAGAATTTACTTGCAGAAAAATAATTCAAGACCTAAGCAAAGTTGGCCAACTAATCGGCCAAAATTGGCCAACTAATTGGCCAAAGTTGGCCAACTAATTGGCCAACCAACCCAGCCAAAACTTGTATATCAATGAGTCAGTGAGTGAGTGTTGTGTAGTGTAGTGTGTAGTGTTTCTCGTCTGTGCATTTTTATCGATTTTTAAAAAGTTACCCCTCTAAATATTTCCCTTTTTTATTGAAGTTTCCGAGAATGACTTTATTTTTCCCGTGCGACACGGTCTTCAGGTGTCGACCTTCCCTCAAAGTTGGAAAAACGACGACTTTTGCACCAGAAAGAAACGGTATGGACGAAAATCTGTGAAGAGCATCATAGAACTGTCCGCGTGGTATCATATGTTTCGAAAATAAGGAACAAAGGAACTTGTTTGGGCTCCACCGGCCCTTCTCGACCCAACACAGAGCATATCCACCTCGTGAAAGCCGAAAATTTACCCAAAATGCACAGTGTCTGCATCATTAAACCAGGAGCACGCCCAGTAGAGGTGGCGTAGACGACCCGACAGAAGTTTTTAGCAGATGATACATTATACACAACTAAAATTAATAGTACTTTACTTGACTATGTATCATTTCTTGTACTCTCATGCGGAGCGCTGAGAGGCACCAGGCATGAAGTCATCCAGTTGTGTGTATATGGGCGCGTGATGCGGCCCCGATCAACCGCCGTGCCACAGCCAGACGCCCCCTCTCCCCTCCCTTTCCCCCCCTCCCTCCAGTAGACTCGGCTCGTCGCTCGGCTCGGACCGTTTCGGCCGAGGGGTTAAAAGTAGGTGTACACATTTCTAAAAAAGTTAAAGTGAAACTGACAAAAAATTGACTGAAAGTGATGAAAACACAAAGGATAAAAATGACTTATCGTGCGTTGATCAGATCAAAAATGAATAAAATGGACGGGATTTAGGCATAAAAATGAAGTAAACGTTGTAAAACGGCCGTGAACCCGCATGGAAATAGGTATATCCGAATGGCACTTTCGGCTATACTTTTGTAAAAAGTATAAATTAGGTATACGTAAAATATAGCGGATTGGAACGGCAACACTTTGATGGCACTTTAGGCATTTTTTTGGTATATTTTTTGTATACTTTTTTTACACTTTTAAGACACTTTGGCGTGTCACTTTTTAATCTCTTTTTTTCCGTGAATAAAATTAGAAAAGTGAAAAGTTGAGGTGTACGCATTTTCACGGAGTGATTACCCCCCCGGTCTCGGCTGAGGAATGCGCGCAGCGCGGTTATTCAAACTCTTACCCAACTATGAAGAGACAGAACTATATGAATTCAGAAACATTATTTCCGAACCTACTATGTTTCTATTGAGAAGTATCACACGCAAACTGTCTCTACACGGCCCTCTTCACACTAACTTTGTCTTAGAACCTTCAAAACATTACATAGTATAGGAGACACAGAACACAACCCAAATCTTTT